AGGGAAACAGTAGCCAGCCAAACCAAGAATTTCCTCTTGTTTTAACAAGTGGAGCAAGTCAAACAATTGCCACTGGTAGCAGAGAGTACACAGAGAGGTGCAGGATGAGATGGGAGGGACAAGGGACAGGCACTGGGACACCAATATGTTGACAGCAGTCTTAGGGCAGCTCACAGCCACTGAACTGCAGCCTAACTCAGGCCGAGCTGTGATGGCCACACACCCCAGGGAAGGTTCCTCTCCTCTCTCTGAATATACGAGTGGGAAGAAACAGGAAAGTCTCTGCAGTGCAGAAAGCACTGAACCACGTACTTCAGGGAGTGAGTAAGGAGGAGCCCAAGGATCAGATCTGCTCCTTGTACTCTCCTGACTGCCTACCTTGCAGGCTCACACCCCTCTTTCCCCTTCCCCACGAGTCTCTCCCCATCTTTCTCCATTCCTAAGTCACAGATCCTCTCACCCAAGAGCAAGGTCATCCCTATGGGTTCAATTACAGACTCGCAAACCAAAGAAGAGAACACAGAAGTGAAAACTCTTGTTCACATCCTTTAGCTGCTCTTCAAATTTTTTTGTTTCCCCTTCTCCAGCGAGGATCAGCCTCACTCACACTCTGTGCTGAGTTCACTGACACGACACCCCAAGCACAGGAGCAGCTCCAGCCGCTGCAAACGCAGCTTTGAGCAGCGCTGTGCTGCAGTAGAGTCAGGTATGAACTGAGACCTCAGAACACCTGCTCTGCCTCCCTCATCCATCGAGACCTCTGTGCTTGCTGCTGCAAGCTAAATACACTCAAACATTAATACGAAATAAAGCTAAACACTAAATAAGCCTTCAGATCCTGGGACCAGCCCTAGAGATGGTTTTGGTGGGCTGCACTGGCTACACAGCTTGACAGCACAACTGAGCTTTCCACATCTCAGCAAAGAAACACGCTGACAACAGCACAGCACACACGTGGAGGAGATACAGTACCTATGCTCTCCACTGGTGTGCTGGCAGGCAGGAACCCTTGCTTCAGGAGCTGCTTCTTGATTTCATTATTCTCCACCTGGACTTCTGATACCATATTGCAGGGAACGTACCCCTCCCTCCCTGCACATTCACCCCTGTAAAAGCCATCAGCGTCCTTGTCTCCACATATCTGCAAAGAAAAAGAGAGGCAGGAGACTGTTTATGTTACAGGGACTGAGATGCACAGTGAAATGAGAAACGGAAGGAAAGGAAACTCCCAAGATGAAGGAGGCTCTACATCCCAAAGCTTATGCTGTCCCTGGAACATCAGATGGATCCACACATAGTAGGAGACATTCACTAAGGTGTGCTCTTACTTTCAGGATCTGTCCCTCCTTAAATGGGAGCTCCTCTTCTGCTGCATCAGGGTTAGGAGACATAGAAACGGGATCGTAGTCAAAGAGAGCCACAAATATTCGAATGTCATCATCTTGAGCAGAGCTTTCTGAAGCGGTGCTCCTTGGAGGACCTGTGTGCAGACAGGGGACACACCAGAGATAACGTCAGCACCATTCCCCTGCCACAGCCCTGCATGGCTCAGACAGTGCCTACCAGCCTCTGCCCTGCCATTTCCAGCAGCCTCCCTCTATCCTGCTGCCCAGCTCCCTCCCCCTCACCCACTTACCGGGACTAGAGAGCAAAGGTTTCTGCATTTGGCTTCTTCTTACACTCTTGTTCCCCCTTCTGCTGGGAGCCTGCCAGGCAGTGGTGCTGGGCAGCTCCTGGCCCCTGGGATCTTTATTACCAGACGCCTGCAACAGGAACCATCAGAGAGTTAGAAACAGTCTCTGCCTTCTGGCTTCTGTGAACAACGCTCAGCCCAAACGCACTCCACAAAGAGCAGTGCATCCAAATGCAACATTCCTCTTCAGGGACACTCTGAGAGCTGAAAATACCAAGGGAATTGGCAAACAGGACTAAGTTCAGGCAGGCACTCTGCCAGGCACCAGTGCCAATCCCCTTGGTGAGCGTGAGGACATAGGAAAGGGCATTTCGAGGGGAGGCAATGACATTACAGTCATCATCTACACAAAGCTTTCACAAATCAGCTTATTTCACCAGGGATTTTCATTTGGGTCCCACAGCCTCCTGCCATGGGGAGGAAGACCCAGTGCGAAAAGGAATACTGCATCGGTGACACTCGGTCAGTAAGCAGGAAAAGCAGAAGCAGATAATACAAGAAAAGCCACGGAGCACCACAGAACTACAGAATCTCTCGGATATTCTTCCGGACAATCCTACAGGAAGGTCCCTTCTCTGGACAACACTGAACAAAGCAAGATACAGGCAGGCCAGGGAAGCAGAGGGAAGCTAATGCCACTGCAAGCTGCTTCAAAGCCAGAATAGGAAAAGTCACCCAACCCTTTTGTGCAAGGAGGTGCTACGTATCCCCTTCGAAGGATGTTCGAGCCTCCTTCTCCAGCCAGGTGACTTACAGTCCAGCTCCCAGCCCTGCTCCTCAGAACTGCTCTCACATCTCAGTGCTTCCTTCTCCTGGCAGAAGAATCGCAGGCGCCGGCTCGGAGACCCAGCCCACTCCATACCCTGCTCTTCCATCATCTCCAGTCTGGTCAGGTCTCTTCTGCCATCCACGTGGGCCACATCGGACTGACTGGAGCAATCACTCCAGTCCCCCTGGCAGCTCTGGGACCTCTCTGGCCACAGCCTGCTCTCAGGGGAGGATGCACAGGTTGAATCCTGATCATCTTCAGAGTCATATTCAATGTCTATTTCCAGGCTCCTGGGGCTGGAGCAGCATGTTGCCATCACAGCAGGTTCTGTGAACCCTGAAACCACTTTCATGGGGTTTTTTCGTAAGGTGCCTTGTCTGGCACGACTGTACATATCAAATCCCTCCTTACCACCAGTGCTGCTCACAACGTTCAGCTCTTCCCTGAGGCTAGGAGCTCTGTATAACCCACCTCCCATCTGGCTGCAGTTGCCCAGCAGACGACTGCAGTGCTCTGTTAAATCATTCTGTCTCTTCCTACCCATCTCAGGACGACTCCAGATCTTCTCTCGATAATTATTTCCCTTCTTCTTGCTCCAGGTGGGACTTGCCCCAGTCCCAGACTTTGGATCATTCTCCTGGTAGCTCCAGGTCCAGTTTGTCTTCTTCTGACCCCAAGGCAGCTGGACAAAGGCAGGATTCGCATGGTCAGTATCCCCTCTGCTCTCCTTAACTCCATTCTCATCCCGCGGAGCCTGAGTGGACAGGTCCGTGGAGGTATTACTCCCATCTGCCTTCAGAAGTGGCTCCTTGGCATTAAGCGGCTTCTCTGTCCTTCCTGAATGGTAGGAAAGCGTTTCCAAGGAGTCCTGAGGGTCTGCCTTTTTCTCCATAACACACTTCTCATCCTCATCTTCATCCTCATCCTCAGTCACTTCAGGGATGCTGAACAATTTCTTGCTGTGGTTCTTCTGAAGCGGGAGGTCTAGTATCCTCTCCAGAATCTCCTCATCGCTGTCAGTATCGCAAAGATCCATCTGTACCCAGCCCCCGAGAAAAGCCACAGCCAGGATAAGCAAAGGAAAAAAGAGAGGAAATAAACATTAAAAAGAGAGGAAAAGTGACAGCTGATTCCCTCCCAGCACAGCAGTATGGAGCGGCGACTGTGGTCTGCAGCGAAGCAAGGGAAGGAAGCAAAGAGAGCAATGGGTCTTCTGGCAAAAGACAATCAGATGAACGAGCAATGCAGTGGAAAGCGAGAAAGGCCAATGCATGGACGAGCTCCCTCCCAGCCTCTGCCCCTTCACACACGACTACCTGCAGCACCTTTCCTCCTGCCCACTTGATTCCTCACAGTTTCAGCATCCCCGATCTGGGATGATGGGGCAGGAGAGGCACAGATCCTCCACGGCTGTTCTCTGCATGTTAGAGCTGACTGGGTTCCTCCCTCTGCAGGGATGAGTCTCACAGCCTGTGCTCACACAAGGACCCACAGCCCTCCCTGACCCTTCTGTCCTCGCACTGGAACAAAAGGAAGTGACCTCTGTACAGCAAGACAACCCTTGGAGATGTTGCTGCTACAGGAGGACCTTTCCTAGGCCCTTCCCACCATCTGTCAAGGTCCAGCTCTACC